ATATAAAAGAGTGTACTATTAGAGCCTATCGTCTACTTATTCTTAACGATTATAAGAGCTATAACTCTATTAAGTTCCAGTACTACTATATAGAGGCAAAGATTATTACTCTCTACATGCCCCCATCCTTATCCTACCTACTATAGCTACTTAATATAGGCTGCTTTTCGCCTTTAAAGAGGGCGTATAGGCGCTAAGCCGAGGATATAATACGTAATAGGATTAACTATATCACTAAGATAGAGTTCCTACCAGCCTTCTAGCTAGCCTATCGCAAGACTATTATAAAGGATAATATCCTAGGAGGGTTTTGAGGCGCTGGCTTAGTTCTACACGACCTAGAGGTAGTGATATTAAAGCTTAATATTAAGCTGCGCACGCCGTTACCACCTACTATAGAAGATCTGCCTTAGCTATCATAAACCCTAGGCAATACTCTTAAATTAGGGTCGCAATTGACGCTAGTAAAGCAGAGGATTCAGAGGCATATAGATAGCTCACTATTAAGCATAGTAGTTGCTTTTGAAAAGCTAGCTAAAGGCGCTGCGATTATTGCGTAGAAGCTAGTATTGGCGTAAAAACGCGTCTCTAAGCTTAAGGCAGCTAATCAAGCCGCTATACAACGAAGATTACATAAAAGCGAGTATAGAAGGGAGAGACTCTAACTATAGAAGAGGGAGAGTAATTAGCAACTCTAAGAGAGTTTAGGGCGCGTAGTGATAGGAAGAAGGTAAAGAAGAGAGCGCGTATTGAGGCAGGTGAACTATTACAAAGACGCTGTAGACGCTGTGGTGAGACTGGGCATAACTTGCGTACATGTAAGCAAGATGTAGAAGATAATTCTGAGTAGAATAGCTTATTACGATTTAAATTTACTGTTATTGTTGTGTTGTAATAGTCATGTAATAGTCGTGATTTTGGTGGGGTCTTGGCATAGTGACCGCTTCGGTCTACTGACCGACTCGCTATACAGACACGTTATAGGTTTCCAATAATTATGCGTCTATTGCATTGCACTAACTACTTTGCCAACACGAGTGTATGAGATGCCAGGGTTGAATGTTATATATTCTTGCATTGGAGAATGTCGAGCTTAGGAGCAAAGTACGGTCCGTAGTTATGTAATTGCTTTTCTTAGTTTAACGCTATTATGTCACGATTATTTCAGCTTGGCTAAGGGCCGCGCGGCCTGTTAGGTCTCCAAGTTGTATTTAGTGAGTTGCAAACTAGAGGTATTACGGAGTTAGTTACCATGATGAGTATTCTACATTAGCAATTATACAACTACTATAAGTATGTGTTGATAGATCGATTCTCCAATATATTAGCATAACTTCCACGATCTCTTTCTAAGCAGGACGGGCTACTTGCCAGTGGAATACATTGCTCATGGGCGTATACTTGGCGGAGGCGAGGAATTAGTGTAACTACTGTACTACCAATGTGGTGCGGGGCAGGTGCACAGTCAAAGTTCGGGCCAGGGCGGATGCAACTCATTGGTGAACTTTTTTGGTTGGTGTCAACCAAGTTCTATCGGTCTTTACTATCGTTTCTCAAGTTTTATTGGTGAATAATGAAGTTTCTACCTATTGCTGGAGCGGGGCTGGGATTTAATCCCCCTAATGACATAATAAACAAACTTGCGGAGTGGATAAAAAGCTTGCGTTACAACTACATAACTGTGTGTCTGGTTTTTCCATCACTCTCTTCATCACCTAGTCCTCTTTCATTGCGCCTGATCGTGACTGACATATCAGCTATCGAACTGATCGCCGAAATGACGCTTCTCACAATCGATCCTTTTGAATGCTTCTGTGGCCGCACCTATACGTATGCGATTGATCTGGAAGAACACCGAAGGGCGCGAGGTCACTTTCCCTCACATGTCTGCAGAGGCAGTTGCATACATCCTCCAGTGGCTCAGTACGACTTTACCATTCGCAGATGTGGCTATTGTGGCAAGCTCTGTGAGCGCCTGGATATCTTTGAAGACCACTACATTGCTACTGGGCATTGTTTCTGTTCGGAATGCGACCTCCCCTTCAAAAGTCAGAGCGCTTGGAAAAACCACTGCGAGGTAGAGCTCCATGCTTCCGAGTACCGTTGTTGCAACTGTGACATATCTTTCAAAGACATCCATGCCCTGAACGCACACATGGCGAGCCGTGCCCATCGGAAGCCGCTTCAGGAAAAGCACAAAGATAAGGCAAGAAAAGCGGGAAAAGCCACTATGGTCAGTGCGGGCGATCATGTGTGCAAGAAATGTCGACGAACCTTTCCATCCCTCCACTCTTTCCAACAGCATTGTGAGTCGATAAAGCACAAGCCAATCAGCGCTCTGGGTTGCCCTATCGGAGAGGGATGCAAAAGAAAGTTCAGTGCACCGTCGGCTCTGCTGCACCATCTAGAAAGTGGAAAGTGCTGTTCAGGCATGGACCGCGATGACATCTATGACATCGTTCAGCTATACGACAAAGATCACACGATCCATACCCTCCCAAAACTCACGCCTTCGAGCTCTACTTACTTGTCGGCACATGGTTTATCTCCTGATTTCGGAACACCGACATCGTCGCTCGATAGTTTGGATAGTTGGCTACTGGTCACTCCCACGCACTCTCAGGGTAGTATAGATGGTAGTCTGGTAGATTGGACGCCGCTTGAGGATAGTCGTCTCTCGCTTGGAGATAGACGCGTGATTGACGGAATTAAGCCTGAACTCCGTTGTCCACTTTGTCCGAGGAAGTCCAAAGCCTTTCGTACGATACAGGCTCTTCAGCAGCACATAGTCTCTCCAACACACTGTGATAAGGTCTACCACTGCCCACGTAACCTCCTTCTAATCAACTCTACCAAGGCTGGAACAAAGCAAGGAAAAACAAAGCAATTTACAACTCTCAGTGGACTAGCTCAGCATTTAGAGAGTGGGGCCTGCCGTGGTGGCAGGCAGACGTTCCTGCATTGTATTGAATTCATCCAACAGCATTTGGGGCAATGGGGACTTGGAGGGATGCGCCTTTTGTTGCCAGGCTCCCAAGATTGAAAAAGATGGGATTTTCATTACAGATCTATAGCAATAGCGAGTAAGTAAGCATGCAATGTATCCTTTGTTGTTCCATAAACCCGAAAGTTCTTCACTTCCGCCAAGCAGACGGTCTCTGCCTAATGTGTTTTATTGGCAAGCTAATCACCCTACTAAACTCAAATAATGATGCATGATGTGTAAAAGGCGCAGCGCACTATCGGAAGACGTGACCGGCACAGCCTTTTGTATATGAACAGCTGTATCTCTCCGTGGAACCTATGACAATTCGCATCGCTGCTATAACAATGCGATGGGTCGCTCTAGAATTACGGTTGCTTTCACAGCTTCAAGGAACTAAGGCCTGCAGATCAGCTTTGACTCTGGATCTACTAACACCCATAACCTTACTCATTCCCACTCTGACCGACGCTGCGCGCTGATCGATGATCTTACCTATTACTTAATAGCTTGGAATGCGGGGTACGCACGACAAATGGAAAAAAGCACTACTAAAGTAGTGCATTCGCGCACACTCCCCAGGAACTGTACGGTAGTAGCTCAAGTACGTTCGTTACTGAATGTAGTTGTGTCGATTAGATTGCAATATATCTTAAATAAGCTAGGGATTTTCTTCTAACTTAGTACTTACAGTTGCTCACAGTGAATGAGCGTAGCGTTATTCGGAGCAGACGCGGGCGGGCGATTGCCCGCCGCATGCGCTAGGATTGCGTCCTAACCTTTGCTCGTGCTGAGAAGGCTTGCTGTCGTATTTAAGCTGCCGCGGCTATGCAGAGGTTGCAACTGACCCCTAACCTGTACTATTGATAGCGCGCTGCCCCTCGCCACGAAAGGTCCTGTGATCCCTCACCAGCCGCACAGAGCAGGCGAAACTAATCGCTACAATATCATGATGTTAAGAGATTGTATTAATGCGCGAGAAATAGAGAAACATCTACATTAGAGACGATATGAATGTAAGCAAACGATAACAGTTGGTTCTTCTAAGAAACCGGTTCTTGAGATATTATCTACTGCACCAAGAGCGTGACAATGCTACTTATGCAACACTAATGCGTGTTCGATCATGCAATTCATAACCTTAGTGATCCTGAATTTACGCACGCAAGACTTCTGCGTTTGAGACAATGTACGTCTTCAACCACTGTGTTACCTTACTTGCCTCTCTGTGCATTGAGTAACAGGACACGTCCTCAGTGTCTTCCTTTGAGGGGCTGCATCGGCAGAAGGAAACCGTCTGTGTCAGGCTGTCGTAAACAGCGTGATATAGATCAGGATCATTCCCCGTGCTCCTATACAAGACGGCCTGTGAACAGACCACCTTCGCGTTCTCGATGTCGGTATTGGTACCCGTGATCGCCATGTGGAAGCAGTAATTGCTCTCACTCTCAATGACTATGACTATGACTTCGGAGTCTTCTTGTTCCGGCTCTTCGATGTGGGCAGTATAGCGCTGTTTGGCTTCATGCGAAAGCTCGAGAACGCATTGAGCTATCAAATCATATAGGCTATTTCGAGTTATTCACCTAACAAGACATCTATGATGGCATTAATCATACCTCGTCATTGCGTAGTGGAATAACTAGCTGCGAGGATCCGTGATTAATCTCTCGGAGCGAAGATGTTAAGTCCAAAGCCAGTGTGTCTCAGCAAGCCAATATAAGTACCAAAGTATAGAGCAAGTATCTTACTTTAATAGAGAGGTCCTCTTGGAAGCATAGCTTATATATCTGTCTAGACACGAAAACGAGAACTGTTTCACAGAAGTGCTGGAAGAGTGGCGACACATTGTTAGCAAACACAATAATGATGCGGCTAACCGCTCGTTGAGGAAGCACACAACACGGCTACTAACATTAGCGACATTTTGATTGAACAACTTACGCCACCTGCGAAGAACACAATTGCTATGCCAAGTCTTGGGTTATCTTCATAATCCAAGACGACAATCTAGGTGCTAGCAACAATTATAGGAATGTCTGGGGGACACAGTTCCGTGAATCTCTTGAGCATGTCGCTGCAAGTGCATTTTGTCTGGCAGAGGCACCATACAAAGATTGCAGTTCAGAACTTTCCCACTCTGGGTGTGCCTTAAGTGCTTGCGTCCGAAATGCTTGCTAAGATCGCCTGGTGTGCAAAAAGCATATATGCGCTGTGCCAGCGGCAGCCCTTGGTTACCTAGGCAAAGGAAACATACCCTCGGCCTTTTTTCCTTGTACACAGAGATTTTGGCTAACTCTAATGCTTCTTCCTCGTATCCTGCTTGGCTCTTGGCGGGTAGGGCAGCGTTCCTGCTTCGCGTCCCTTTTCGGATAGGGTTCATCCCCCCCTCTTCGATACCACAATATAGGGTGACCGCACGAATAGCACCATTACGCCGGGCAATCTCCTCTTCTATAGTCGCCCCTGGTCTTGACAGGACTAATTCCGCTAGCTTCTCTTGGGCCGGGAGCATAACGTCGTGTACCAGCTCCAGATGATTATCAGTTTCTAACCCAGCAAGCTGCCGCTCGACATCACGCACAGGCTGCTCAAACTCCCACCGTTCTTTAACGTCCTTGAGAAGGGCGTGCCGCCGACGCTGCCTCTCCTGGTTGATCTTGGAGGTGAGCGCTTTGTACTTGGGATGTTTTGTTGCATTACGAACGGTACGTTTGAGATGCTTTCGTTGGTTGAGAAGAGAACAGATAGAAGGATCATTGTCTACAGATGCATACTGTTCCTCTGTAAGTCTTCGTGGCCGACGACGATCAATCGAGCGGCTCATAGTACAAGCCGACCGCATGAGGGCTGCTTGGGGCTGGATGCCTCTTACAACAGCCTGCGTATCAACTGTAATACGTCGTGAGAGGTAATGCTTCAAAAATGTCGCTATGCTGGCATGGCCCATCATCAGGTTCTGCATGGCCTCGCTAACGCTGCCTACACGCTGCGTTAACTTCACATCCTGCATTATGCAACTTAGATTAAATAGATAGACTTACCATTCTCGTTGAACGCCTTCCCTCCGGCGTATCTCAGCGAATAAGGACGGGTGACTTGAGCAAATCCCGTGATCTCACCCAAAGTCCGGATCCATGGAAGCAGGGTGGAGTAGGGAAGAGGTTCGTTAGGAGAGATATCCCAACCATTCAGGGTCTGTACTGCTTTCCGGAACACGGGGATATTGTCTAAAGTCGGATTCAGGCGTAATGGGAGCTCATTGCGGCCTGGTGGAATCTTGAGCCTGCTCAATTCCTCTGGGGAGGTTAGATTATAGGCTGCAAAGGCCCGATCGTGGAAGAGCAGGCCAAGGAGGAAGACGTGAGGACTGAACAAGAGCGTCTGATCGTACATAATCTCAGGAAGGGGAAAGGTGTTTCTTAAGTGAAATTCAATCAGCGCGTGGTTTTCTTGTACCCAATGATAACGTACAAGTCTTTAATACCAAGAAACTGTTTTGTGAATTCAAAAGTGAACTCCAGCAGTACTCGATGAGGGCCACCCTCAGGATCACGTAGAAGCGTAACTTGTATATGTCGGTAACAGAGACTGAGAAGAGCCTGGGGCCGGTTCGCTGTAAACCCGCCAAGTTGTAGATACAGCTGGGCTTGTATCCTATAGCGACCGTGAGGATATCTCTTTTCGGTTGTTACGAGATTTGTTTGCAGCACTCGAGCCAGATCCTCAACATACATGCAGGCTTTATCTCGACCGATCTTCTTTAGATCGTGCTTCTTCGCCAGCTTCCTTAGTACCTGTTAGTTACGTTAGACATATATGCTTATGTGAGACTGTAATTAGAAAACCAGGTCACTGTACCTTATGCATGCTCCGATTCATCTTTCCGTCTAGTTTCACACTAGTTGCTCTTTCATACACAAGCCGGAAAACCTTCCAATACGTTCCTAGGGAGCTGGAGAATTTTGTTCCTCGGCGTTTCCTCCCGCCTTTGCCCTGGCGTTGGCTAAGTAGCCAGTCAAAAAAAATGTACAAAGTGCTAACCGAAACAGTTGCGTAAGCACGGTAATGGTCTTTCCCGAGGTACGTCCAGCACCTATGCTGGGTCAGTCTAAAGGATATAGCGCAAGCTCCAAGGTGATAGGAGACCTACTGATTCCACTGATCTTCCATACGATTGAGCAAGCGAGTACTACTATCCTTATAGTCCTCTTTGGCGTACTCTTGTTCGTTAAAATTCTCTAGTTGTTGAAGGTAGTATTCAGGCGGATGATCGTCGTTAGGGAAGAGCCATGCTCCGTTCTGTTCATTTTTGTCGGCAAATTCATCTACGTCTGTCAGATCTGTATCCAGCTCTACACTATGGTCTGTGTCGGACACAGAGTAATTGCTGTTGTTGGGGGAACTCTTAACCGATGAGTGTTGTCGCATATCGCGTAATGAATGCAGAAAAGAAGTGTGAAAGAGAGGTAAAGCAAGTACACGCAGAGCTATTAGAGGCTAAGGAGAATGCAGGCTGCAAAAGAGATAAGAAAAGAAGACCAAGGCTTGATTTTTGTTGCTGTAGACGGGGAGAAGAGAGCCTTTAATACTCCACCAGCAGAAGGATCTTGGATTTGGTTAGCATTCACTTATAGTGTTCAGAAGAATGAGTCAGGTCGCATGCATGCTGCAGCATGCCTAACGAAAAAGTAAATTAGTCTTCACACTTCTTGACGGCTACGCTAGCTAAGATAGGAAAGCCGGAGAGGCTTCCACTTAGGCTACTGCCCTCACAATTAGGGGGGTTTTGTGGCAAGTCAGCATCCATAAATGGCGTTACAAGCTACCGAAATTAGTAGCGAAATCGCCGTTGGATTGTTTAAGATAGATAACTAGTCTAATAACGTCTAGGTTAATCTTCTTTATATACTCTTAAATACTAAGTATTACTTATCTAACCTTATATATAATATTACTTTCCTTTAGTATTAGTTTACTATTAGCTACGTATAGTAGATAGAGTTATTATTTCTATTATTTCTTAAGTCTAGCTTAATTTACTA